GTAGAATTATAAAAAGTTAATAAATTTATATAAAAAATTATCTTTCTCTACGTACTTTTCAAGATATTTTTGAGCATCGGTACTAGAACTTTCGATTTTGCGGAAACTGGTAGTCATAGTTTTTCGTAAATCGCATATATAATTTTGATTAATAAATTGCTCCTGTATTCGTTTTCTGTAAAGATATGTACAATTAATATTTAATTTGTTTTAATTTGACAAATGTGTGCACACATTAAAAATCATTATTACTATTTCTTTTCAAAAATTCTATATTTTAAGAGGCACACAAATTTTAATTAGTGAATAGTTTTGGTCGGCAGATTTATCTTTCTCGGCCTCTTGAATTAAACTAAATAATAATAATAATAATAAATCATTCAATGAATGATCAGTATCGTCGTAATGACATTTTAAATGATCTCGTATAATGTGAATCGTTATCGTATAATACGTTATCGTTTTTGTAAAAATACGAGTCCAGTTGCATCCATTTCTCTTACACACTGCAAGAAATTTCCGATCATAACAAGGGTCTTCTTTTATAATAAAATTTACAACTATCGTTGTCTCCATCGTTATTCTGAAAATAAAAATTGGAACGTATAAGTCGAACCTAAGGGGAGAGTCACCGAAGCGTAAACGAAACTTCTAGGAGGCGAAAATTTGAACAGCGAAGTGTAAAAGTAGCGTTAACGCTTCCTTTACATTCCACTGTTCCATATGACAATACGATGCAGAACATAATATAATACTTTTTATGCTGGCACCTTTAGTTTGATACGGATTTTACACTCTCTTAGTTAATCTAGATTTCATAAGTTTTCTTTGAAAATTGTAGAATGACAAATCTTTTTGAAATAAGAATTAATATTTTAAAACTCATGTATATAAAGATGTATATAAATCATAAATATAAATTCTAGAAAAGATATAAGTTTGCATGTATACATATATATATACATATATATATATCGATCGGTCTAGTCGGCGCTTCATGACTGAAGAACGTGATCTCTATGTTGACGAGGTTGTAAGGTGGTGTACAACCTGCCTCCACTGATTTCTATCGGTGGCCATCCTCATTGCTGTATAGAACTTAGAATTTCCATCCTCTTTTATTTGGTTGGCCCATCTGCTGGGGGATCGACCTCGTGGCCTCTTGCCCTCTACACTAGTGAGGACTAGTTTCTCGAGGTTTTCGTCACCTCGTCTGATTACATGGCCGAAGTATGTCAGTATTCTCTTCCGACATGTAACGGACAATCGTTCTTTTATTCCAACTTCTCTGAGGATGGATATGTTTGTACGTTTGGCCGTCCACGGCACCCGCAGCATTCGCCTCCAGCACCACATCTCGAAT